CTCTCTTTAGAGTGGTGGATGAGGGGACTGGTGCCCTTTTCCTCTCCCCGAAACCACAGTAGGTATAAGCCCATGCCACTCGGAGTGCATGTCCCTTTCTTTGATCTCTTTGGTATATAAGTCTAATATTGGCTTTGCTACGTCAAAAAGTCTGCACAATTTAGTGATTTCTGAGGTTTACTTCTAATTTGCTTCCTAGAATGGCTGAACCAATTCACCACTTTGCCTGTGGAAGAGTGTGCCTGTCGGCCCATATTCCTTCCAACAACTGTTATTTTCCATTTTTTCCATCTTTGCAAACTCAGAGCTGTTTTAATTTACATTTCTCTCATTATTAGTGATTTGGAACATTTTTTTTCATATGCTTGATGATAGCTTCTGTCTTTTCTCTTGACTGTGCATTTCTCTGCTTCCTGGCTTCCTTTAAGTGTTAGCTCAAATACCACCTTCTGTAAGAAGCCTATCCTGATCCTTCTTAACACTATTGCTTTCCCTCTGTTGGTTATTTAATACATCTTATATATGTCTGGTTTGTATATAGTCATTGTATGTTGCCTCTCCATTAGATGGTAAGCTCCTTGAGGTCAGGGACTGTCTGGTTTTGCTTTTCTTGTATCCCCAGTTCTTAGCCTAGTGCCTAAGCACTTAGTGAACACTTAGTATATGCTTCTTGACTTGACTTGCTGATTAAGTCTTTGTTAGTATGCATTTGTGAGTCCCTTATGTTAAGCATTTCTTCTGTGTAGAGGAAATAAATAGCTGTCCTATACCAGATTTACACTATACATTGATTACCTTTCTATTTCTTTCTATTTTGGGGAGACCTTAAACAAAAGCCAAACCTAAACTTTAAGTGACTCCCTTCCTCTTCAACCTCTCCCCCTCTTCCCTGCTCTATGCTTCAGAATAGAGGGTGGTAGTATAAAGACCCCTTTCTAGAGGATAGGCTGGGCCCAGGACTAAACCTATTTCATGTGCATGAATCTAGAACTAGGGTACCCTTTGTAGAGATAGAGAGGGCATGAAGATCCCTGATTCTTTGAAGATTAAAGAAGATATCAATGCTTGTGACCATCCACCTAGATATAGAGGAGTTGTGATCTTTGGTGGAAGAGCTGTTTCATCAATGAAATTACAAATCCTTGATGTATCGTCATATCCATGCCTTTAGATATATAGATAAATGCATGCATACACACAATTTAATTTCTTATAGGATCATAGAACTGGAAGGTACTTGAGACCACGTAGTCATTTTACAGATAAGGAAACCGAGTCTCAGAGCAATTAAACAACTAGCCTAAGGTCACACAGGTAGTCTCATTCAAGTCAACAAGCATTTATTAACAAGCTACTACTAAGTGCTGGTGGTTAAGTATCAGAGGTGGTGTTTGAACCAATGCCCTTGGACTGTAGTCAATGACTATTCCATGATATCATGTCCCTCCTGAATTTGCTTGCCTTTCACAATTTTTGAATTTTATCTGGCTTCCTTCTAAAATGTAATTTTTTGGGAGCAAAGTACTTTAGTGGCCAGCACATTACAACTATTTAATTAAAATGAAATCTGGTTGACTTTTGCTGCCTGCTTTTAAAGCTCATCGGCTGGAACTGCCTCAAACCAAAGCTGGAGGCTTAGTGTTATTTAGTGTCCCCAATGGAACAGGACCTTCTTTGTGTCCTTAAAGGTCACAGAGAACAAATAGTTGTTTGTTGGTTAAATTTTATCATCTTCTTATTTTTGATGTAAAAACTACATAGTTCTAACAATGAGTAATATATGATCATCTCATCAGAATTTAGCCCTAGTAAGAGTGTTATAGTAATTAGACATGCAATAAATCTTGTCTCTTACTCGTTTTGATACTTAAAGTTTGCTTTTACAAGCTCTAGTACCCTCCCCCAGCCCTCCCCCCTCCATCACTAGGGAAACAGAGAACACTGAGTCCTTTCTGAAGTTAATTGATGAATATCACCCAAGCCCTTCTGTTAATAAGTAGAGAATTTTAATGGAAGTGACAAGTCTCACATTTAGTTTTAGACCTGATTCCAAAAGAAGTTAAAAATAGAATGAATGAGATTGGATTTTTCCATTCATTTTCCTTAATTAATACATTTGATTGGGAACACAAGGATACTTGGGAAATAGAGAATGATAGTGTTATGTTCTCTAGTGAAAAGAGTACTAGGGCCTAGAGTCAGGAGACCAGCGTTCAAATCCCAACTCACTGGTTGAATGACCTGTATAAGTCACATAAACTCTCTGAAAGCCTGTTTCCTTCTCTATAAAATGGGCATAGGGCAGAGTAGAGCTCCTGGAATCAGGAAGATCTGTGTTCAAAATTTGGCCTTAGACACTTACTTGCTGTGTGACCCTGGGCAAGTCACTTAACCCTGTTTGCCTGTTTCCTCACCCTATAAAACTTAACTGGAAAACGAAACGGCAAACCACTCTAGTATCTTTGCCAAGAAAACCCCAAAAAGGGTCATGAAGAGTCAGACATGACTGAAAACGACTGAAGGACAATAAAAATGGACATAATACTTGTTCTGAGAGACCTTGTGGCATAGTGGATAGAAAGCCAGCCTCAGAATCACAATGATCTTTATTCAGCTTCTGCTTCTGACACTATACTGCTATATGATTCTGGGAAAGTCACTTAACCTCAGGAGGATGTTAACACCTTAAGCCTTGAAATTGCATAAGCACCTGTTGGTCTGCATTGGCAGAAGCAGTTTCCTCTAGCAATGAATTGCATGTCGGGAGTTGTGAGAACATTATATAAATACGACTTGTTATGTATATGAAATATTTTTTTAAAAATAGATTTACTAGGAGCAATAGTTAGATAAATCAAGGCCATGTACCTAGAAGGAGCTAAGTAAATATTTAATAATGATATATTGTATTCTATAACGCTGAATAATAAAGCAAAGAAACAAATGACAGTTTTAAAGTGTAACACCATCTACACAGAACACATTTTGTATGTTATATATCTTTATTCCACTTATGCCAAGCACAAGAAATACCTTCCTGCTCAGTACATGGGATAACTCTAACAAGAGTTGACATTTATATACATTTTTAAATGAGCGAAACTCGGTATATACGGCATCTCACTTGAGTCCCACAGACACTCTGTGAGGGAGGTATTGCCAGTATAAACTCTATTTTACAGATGAGGGAACTGAGCAACAGACAGGCTGTGACTTTGCTGTGTTCAGGGAGTATCAGAAGCAAAATTCGAATCCAATCCTCTGACTGGAGAGCCAGGCTCCGGGTTCTATACAACCCTGACTCATGCTCCCATGAAGGAATTTTTAAAGAAAGGCAGTAAGAGATGTCATTAGATACATGCACGACCAGAGATGGATCAATGCATCCATGAAATGTTACAAGCCCCCTCCAGAATGTTGGGTAGAGTCCCTTTGGATGATGTATCAAAGGGCAAAGGCAAAACCCAAACAGGCTGGGAAGGACTGGATGGGTTGTGACACGAATTCCTCCCTAAGATTACAGATCTACAGAAATATCAAAGTAATTAAATATAAGTCAGGAGAGAGTGGTGCCTATCAGTCCAGCAGGCCAAGACACGTCCTGTATCTGTAGGTGAAACTGCCTCCTGTTCATAAACAGCCTAGCCCCTTGCAGGCTGCCTGGGGAGCAGACTGAAAGGAAAGCCCTGCGACTGTGCAAACAACAAAGGAGGAGAGGGTTCCTCCCAATTTTCTGTGGGGCCTGTAATTTAATTTTTCTCATATTTATTTTTACGTGCTCTAAAAATTAGGGAGAGGTTTTTCTCAGGCTTCATGACTCAGCTTTGATGGCTAGGAACATTAAAAGGCAGTGGAAATTTAAGAATCTGAACTCAGTTGTCACCAGACCAAAAGATTGGGTGAAAACGACCCAGCCAAGCCAGTGAGATGCTGTTTCATTTGGTGGCACAGATGGCCCATGAGGGAAGGTCTGCCTCTTGACCGTCAGATCCTTTTCGTTGTGGCACTGGGGGTGGGGTGGGGTCGGTGACAGACTGGCTTAAGCTTTCGAACTGCAGCCTGAGGCTTATCTGGGGGTTTCTCCATGAGGTCTCACGCGCGGATTTCTTTGCTTTTGGAGGCTGGTCACCCTTTCATCAACCCTTTATCTTGCAATGGGTATGACAGGGAGGTGCGCGCTAGAGTAAGAGGGGCAGAGACATCCTTTTGGGAGAGCGCAGGGAAGCGAGTCGTGCGATTAAAACTGCGCCACCGCCAGGAAGCTAGCTGGATTGGCGGATGCTCCTGCCCCTGGACCCCGAACCGGGCAGAAGGGTCAGGCCGGCCAACGGCGACAGTCAACGCGCTTCTGGAGTCGGAGCGCTGGGTTCAAGTCCGGGGGAGGCGCAAGTCCCTCAGTCTCTAAGACTCAATTCAGGGCGCCTCACTCAAGCTCCGCGTGCCTCGGTTTCCTCATCAGTAAAGTGGGGAGAACAGTGAGCCTAGAAGGGGGAAGTTCTCCGACGCCTCCCCCTCCCTCCCTGGCCCTTCCGCCGGAGCGCTAGCCGGACCCCGGCGGCTGCGTCCACGGCCTCCGCGCCGCTGCCCTCCGGGCGCTTCCACTCCGATCCTCCGGGCTCGGGGCCAGCCCCACCCCCTCCCCGGCCCGGGCCCGCTTCCTCGCCCGTCCAGCTGGGACACCTGCCGTGCCCCGCCGCCGGGCAGCTGGGGATTCCAGGGGGCCGCGCGGACCCCGGCGCATTCCAGCGGAAGGGGAGGACGTTCGGGCCGCGCACGACCCGGCTGCCCCGACAGGCCCCGAGCCCCGCCGCGACCCGGCCGCCGCCTCCCAGCGGCCACGCGGGGCCGGCCGAAGCGGACTACATTTCTCGACACGCACCTCGGCGACCTCCGGCCAATGGACGCCCGAGGCGCTGCGCTCGGGGGCGGGGCCTGCGCGGAGCGGCCTCCCATTGGCCGCGGCGCTCGGTGACGAGCCGGAACCGGGGGGAGCAGGGGAAGCGAAATGACATTTCCTCTCTTCGCCTCACTCCGCTCGAGCCGGGGCCCCTCCGAGACATGGCCGCGACGGGAGGTGGGTGCTGCCGCGGCCCGGGAGCGCGGGGGGCGGGCGGGGCGGGCGTGGCGGTGGGCGCGGGCCTCCCCTTCTCGTTCTCTCCCTCCCTCCGCCGCGGCTGCCGCGGGCCCCGACGGCGGCCGAAGCCCGGCCGTCCGGCCGCGGGGGCCCCGCGCGTTCGCGTCGCGTCCTTCCCCCGCCCTGCCCCCACCCTCGGTCCGCCGCGCGGGTCTGTGGCTCGTCGGGGCCGCGCCGGGGGGCGGGCGTGGGCTTGGGGCGCGTGGGCCCGGCCTGGCCTCGGGCGCGCGCGGAACCTGGGGCTTGTGCCGCTCTCTCTCCCGCAGATGCGAGTAAGTGTCCGCCGCAGGCGCCGAACGGCACCCCGCCCGCGCCCCCCGTGGCCGGGCCGGGGCCCGTGGACGCCGCCCACGCGTGCAGCATCCTCCAGCAGCTCAAGACCATGTACGACGAGGGCCAGCTGACCGACATCGTCGTGGAGGTGGACCACGGGAAGACCTTCTCGTGCCATCGCAACGTGCTGGCGGCCATCAGCCCCTACTTCAGGTACCCGCCTGCCTCAGTTTACCCTCTGCGGAAGGGGGGCTGGAGGGGCACCGAACTCCCTCCTAGCTGGGATCCCCTTCTGTCTCCGGCAGGCCACCCCTGCTCTGCTGACTGGCACACATCCATCACCTGCAGTGTGCCAGGCGGGCTTTGCCGGCCTGGCCCCTGTAGAAGTGCTTAATAAAAGTTGGTGGAGTCTGGAGTTCCAGTAGCTTTGAGGATAGAGAGCCCAGAGGCCGTGGGGCTGGTCGGGCCAGTCACTTAGGAAGTTCCTGCTGTGTGCTGAGTTCTGGGGACAGAAAGGCAAGAAAAGCCCCTGCTCTCGAGGAGTTCACATTCTAATGGAGGAAACTAGAGGCCGGCAAGATTTGTAGGGGATAGATGAGATGTAGTGTTCCAGGGAAGACACTGACCTAAAGGTCACTTCGGGAGGCTTTGGGAAAGGTTTCTTGCAGTTAGGGAATGTGCTTTCAAGTCCTGACTCGGACAGTTGGGTGCAGTTAAGTGGTGTAACCCGTTAGTGACTCCCAGAACTCCAAGTAGACCATCTGCCTCCTTAGCACACCGGGAATTCCCTGAACTCTGAAATAATGGTAGCGCGCCTACAGCGTGCTAGGCACTGCGCCAAAAATTACCGTTGTTCTTCCTATTATACATTTGTGGAAATTGAGGTTAAGTGAGTTGCCCAGGTCACACAGCTAGTAAGCTTCTGACCCCAAATTCAGCATTCTGTTAACTATGCCACTCCTAAACCACTCCCCCTTAAAAAAAAAGACAAAGGTGATCTTTAGACTTAGTTTCATCTGTTTTGCATGCTTCTTCTAAGTTCTTAATGCTCACTGGGTTCAGAACAGTTTTTAACTTGTTCCTTGTAAATATATCCCTCTGATGATTAGTCTGCACACTTTCTTTGAAAAAATACTTTTTGGCATTTTCTGAAACTTGTACTATTCCAAAGAATTCAGAGTTTTGGGTTGGAGATTTTATAACTCAGAAAAATGTCATACTCTAAGAGAATTCCTGGTTTTTTATTTAATTTGTTTTAGGTGCACACTTTTATGTTGGCTATTTTTTTTTAAGAAGTTGCCCTCTTACTAATCTAGAGGTTCCTATTTTTGTGAGGGGCAAGTTTGTATTTTTCTCATAAAATATAATCTTTCTCACAATCCTGGGACAAAGTAGCTCAAGACAGTGGATAGACAGACATATACACCAGCAACTACAAGCTGAAATCACTGAATGGGATAGATTTACAGGTGAAAAGGATCATAGGATTACAGACCTGAACCTCAGACTGGCTCTACTATGTGTCTTTCACTAGTAGGCATTTAATGCTTGTTGACTGTTCTGAGAGACTCTCTAGTTAAACTCTCTTATTTTACAGATAACGAGACTGAATCCAGGATTTGGAACTGCTCAGTGTCACATCAGGCTAGATTTGAACCTAGGTTCTCTGACTCTACAGCCAATGTTCTTTCCACTGCCCCAGACTTTAGAGATCATCTAGTTCAGAACCTTCATTTTATAGCTGAGGAAACTGAGGCTCAAGATAATAATTGAACTGAGACGACGATTCAGGAAGGGAACCAGTGACTTGGGAGAGAGCAGCAGCTACTGCAAAAAATTTGGGAAGGTTAATGTTAGTTTGGGGAATTAGCTGTAGATTTCACTTAAGCAAGCTATACTAGTTCTTTGAGAGAACTATAGCAAGGGTAAAGGTATAAAAGGCTGGCTATAGAAATTATTCTTTACTTTGAAAGATTCTTACCATTCATTACTATTGAACAATAGAAACACTAGAACTTGGAAATGTGAAAAGTTTTGGCCTTTTGTACCCAGGCTTATAAAAATTTAAATGACACTCTTATTTAAATGAATTTGAAGATTGAGCCAGAAATTTTGATTTAAAGGAATATGTCATAAGATTTTCTTTAAATACTCAAGAAGGTAAGTTATTATTCTAACTGTAAGATATGATTTAAAAGGAAGTAACTGAGAACAAAATTTAAGGAACTAATTGTTGGATTCTTGGTAGAAGTTTTTATATACATGACTTTCTTGTTGCTGATGTTTCTCTTCATTTGGGGTATGGAAATTCATGCTATATGATTTTTATCTCTTGTTTTGTAGTAAGTTGTATTCAGTAGCAAAAAACTTCTGGTTGGTGATGTTTTGTGGTTATGTTGACTTTTCATAATTAATAGCAAGTTGTATGATGGTGGCTACCCAAATGAGTAAGCAGTTTCATTGCTGGTAGCTTATTTAAGGTTATCTTAATTAAAATAAGTTGTACTAAAGGGCCAGGCCTCTTCCACCCACTTGTGACCTCTCCACCCCAGCCCCTTTTCCAAGGTACTAGTAGTTCTCATAATGGTGGTATTGGATAATGCTTTTCAGGGTTAGTTAATAATCTCTGATGTTTGGTGCCTTTCTTTTTAGTTGTTTTCTCCGTAGCTATTGGGCACTTGTAGCTCTCAGAATTGGGAAAAAACAAAACCAAAAACAAGACAGCTCCAACCTGTGAATACATGGGAACATAAATATTACTTTCTTTTAGCTTTTGTTAAGAAACCATAAAAATCTGTATTATATAACAAAAATCTGTATAGAAATTACATCTTAAACATTTAGTGCTGTAATATCTAGCAGCACTCTTGTGCACAGTATATGCCTTCATATTAATTTGTTGTAAAATATGTATTTTTAAAATTCCAACTGTTCCAGGGAAGTTTATGGAATTGGTAAATATCTATTCCACAAAAAAGAATGGAAATATTGCCATTCAAGGAATGCTACTTTGTTTCCCCCTTAAGGACTCTATTCTTCTTTCCCTTCTTTTAAAAAAAAATGACAGATGCTCAGTTTTTAGAATAATACATTATATAGTACCTAGAGGTTTTAAAAGTACTTTTCTGACACTATTATTAAATAAAATCTCCTTTAACTTTTATCCTTAGTCTTAGGAGTATATCTAGAAAGAGAAAGCTTTAACAATAACTTTTATAGATGACTTAAGTTTAAGAAAAGCAGGATCCAGGCTATCTAATTCCCTGCCCAAGAATGTCATGGTAACTCTTTAATCTTATTTTTAAAAACATACCATTGTCACAGGTAGAATTTGTGAATTTAAAAGACATATCATTCTCAGAAGGCTGAGGCAGTTGTTATACTTACTTTAGAAGTGTGAAGAGTTGAACTGTTCTTACTATAATACCTACTTTATTTCCAGATTTTTTCTTTCTTAGGAGAAATGTATGGGAAATACGGCACTTTCTGAACTGGGGAAAGATAATGAAATTTTAAAACAAGGATTTCAAAATGTCAAATTGTGACTGAAGTAATCAAATAATTTTTATTTACAATAAATAGGGAAATATTAGTTACAGGATAATTAATTTTCAGAGTTAGGATATAGGAATTAAGATATAACTAAAATATACTTTTGAAGGACATGTATATTTCAAGGTGACTTAGTTTCTTTTTTAGCCAGAGAACATTCAGTTTAATATATCTCATAATCCTACTTAATTTTCCTCATTATGTAATTTGACATCTGTCCTACAGGTTACATATACATCTATGGAAATATATAGTTATTTTAAGGTACATTGCAAGTAGGTGAAATTTTCATGAAATTAAATTTCCGTTGAGTTAGGTCTTATGCATGAACTTTACAAAGAGTTGATGGATTTGGGTGCAGGCCTCTATGAAGTTTATGGTATTAACATGAAAAAAAGTAATAATATATTTACATATTTGGTTATTTTGTTATCACACTACAAGTTTAAGAATATAGTCAGGATGCATAGCAAGTATGCCTGGAACACAGGCACGAAATAAGTTTTTGCCCATATATCTGTACTGCATAGTTGGGACCAAATAACCTTCTCAAATTTGGAATTTATTGGTATGTGGAAATAGTAGTGTTTGTTTATTGATCTGTTCTCAAAATTATGCTGTCTTTAAGACTAGCACCTCTGATGAGAAGGCTACCTGCAAAATAGAGGTGCTTGGAATAATTACTTCCATTTGGAATTTGTTCCAGGAGGCTTGCTTTCTTTTTTCTTAGTGTCAGTTCTCAGTTCCCTTAATAGACTGAGGATTGTGTATCTTCCTGTCATTCATTTAGAATTTCAGGAAAGCATATTAGATTAGATTGCTCAAATATATATGCAGTTTACTTTGTACTTTCCTACTTGTTACAGTGACATTGTAATAACCAAATGTCATCCTAACTGCTATTTTCCCCTTCTCATCAGATCAATGTTCACTAGCGGCCTTACCGAGAGTACGCAGAAAGAAGTGCGTATAGTCGGCGTTGAAGCCGAGTCAATGAATTTAGTATTGAACTATGCATATACCTCCAGAGTCGTACTCACCGAGGCCAATGTCCAAGCTTTGTTCACTGCAGCAAGCATCTTCCAGATCCCTTCCATACAGGACCAGTGTGCTAATTATATGATAAGTCATTTGGATCCACAAAACTCTATTGGAGTTTTTATTTTTGCTGATCACTATGGTCATCAGGAGCTAAAAGACCGATCGCAGGAGTACATTCGTAAAAAGTTTCTCTGTGTCACCAAAGAACAAGAGTTTCTCCACCTGAGGAAAGATCAGCTCATCAGTATACTAGACAGTGATGACTTAAATGTCGACAAAGAGGAACATGTCTACGACAGCATCATCAGGTGGTTTGAACACGAACGCGAGGGAAGAGAAGCGCACCTTCCAGAGATATTTGCCAAGTGCATCCGTGTGCCTCTGATGGAAGACACCTTTGTTGAGAAAATTCCTCCCATGTTTGCCGAGGCCATCGTCCAGAAGGGGCCAGGTAGCGCCAATGGCTACACACAGAGGCTTGGGATGACTGCATCAGAAATGATCATATGTTTTGATGCTGCCCACAAACACTCAGGAAAGAAGCAAACAGTGCCTTGTCTCGATATAGTCACAGGGAGAGTGTTCAAACTATGCAAACCACCAAATGACCTGAGAGAGGTGGGAATTCTTGTGTCCCCAGATAATGACATTTACATTGCGGGAGGCTACAGGCCAAGCAGCAGTGAAGTCTCCATCGACCACAAGGCAGAGAGTGATTTCTGGATGTATGATCATGCTACAAATAGATGGCTACCCAAAGCTCCTTTACTTCGAGCCAGAATAGGCTGTAAACTGGCTTATTGCTGTGGGAAACTCTATGCAATAGGTGGGCGAGTTTATGAAGGTGATGGGAGAAACCCCCTAAAATCCGTGGAGTGTTATGACAGCAGAGATAACTGTTGGACAGCTGTCAGCCCAATGCCTGTAGCAATGGAGTTCCACAGTGCCGTCGAGTACAAAGAAAACATCTATGTTCTACAGGGTAGGTGTCAGGTGATTGCTGGGCTTTGGACAGGATGCTGCACCTCTCTTCCTGCTTAGGGAGAGTTACTCAGTCATCGTAAACCTCTGAGTAGAACAATTCCTATGGGAAAAGCTCTGTGAAAAATACAAGTGCATTTTGAATAAAGTGTCAGTCTATTGTCTAGCACTTTTTCATCTGGAATAATCACTATTTAAAAAACACATTTCATGTTGTGTAATAGAGTTTAACTGAACACCATATAAAAATATCCTTAGACCAGATTGAAATAAGTACTGTTAGCATGCTAACAGCTATTTTCACCCATGATCAAGACAAGCTTTGGCTCATATTTCTGCATACGTGTTTTATAACTCTTCTTAAAAGTAAGGGATAGCTGAATTTATTCCTGTGTAATTTACTTGATAACATTAAAAAAACCCCCAAAACATCATGTGACCCATCAATTCCCAAAGATTATGAAAGTTAACTATAAGGAGTCTTAAATTGCAGGTAGTACTTAATGATTGTTGGTCTCTTAGTAAGAGATAATTGTTCGATTTACTTATGAGGTGTAGTATATGCTATAAATATCAATTTAATATTTTTTTTTTTGCACACCTTCACCAGATGAATTCAGATGGACGTTTCCACATTGGCAAGTGATCTGTTCAGTTTTCAATAAGACCTTCATTTTGCCAGAGTGAAAACTGCCCAGTATTACTGTTTACATTAGCTTTATCTATTTTATTGAAAAAATATCTGTTTATTTTTCCCACCTTTTGTTTTTAAATTATTTTAGCAGAGTAGAATTGTCAGCATAGTTTGCCCAAGTGCACCTCTTTGACCACCTGTAGCTACCATTCCATCTGTTAAGGGTTTTTTTTTTAGTTAAAAAAAAGTCCTACTGCTACAATACATGCTGAATTTTATTTATAATAAAGCTATTTCTATATGCTGGTAAATGTTCTGTAGTACCAGTGCTGTTTTGAACTGGCTAAATGAGTTTCCTGCAATCAACATCCCTGTACTAGCAACAGTTTCCTATAATTCCTATGTAACATGCTGTTTGCATGGGAAACAGGAATTATTTCTCATACCTTTCCAACTTAAAGGTCTCAATCACAAAAAAACACCTGAAATCCCAAAATTCCTACCAAAAACATAGCTCAACACATAAACTCTGGAGTCAGGAGAGATACAGGAGTGAAAGTCTTATACTTATGCCCCTTGAGGGGGTGTCTAAATACTGGTGATGTGATCCTAAAACTAAACTCTGCTACAGTGAAACAACTCTCATGCCTCTGTGTAGTTAATCTTAAAGAAATGTAACCTTATTTGAAATAATAACATACTGTATAGTTTGAGTCATCTTGTGAAAATGTGTGCTACAAGGTAATTTACAACCTACAAGTGATTCTATGTTTATTTTTGAAGATCATGAAATGAGTAGTTTTCCAAATATATTATCTTCACTGTAAGACAACTCCAATAACCAAAATATAAAAACGTCTATTCTTTTTGCTTCTTAGGAGAATCTTTCCTCTGCTATGATCCTCAGAAAGACTACTGGGGCTTTTTAACACCTATGACTGTGCCTAGAACCCAGGGCTTAGCAGCTGTATATAATGACTCTATCTATTACATAGCTGGAACCTGTGGAAATCATCAGCGTATGTTTACCGTGGAGGCCTATGATATTGAGCTAAACAAATGGACTTGCAAGAAAGATTTCCCATGTGATCAGTCTATAAATCCATACCTGAAACTTGTACTTCTCAATAATAAGCTCCACTTGTTTGTTCGAGCAACCCAAGTGACCGTGGAAGAGCATGTCTTCAGGACCAGCAGAAAAAATTCACTTTACCAGTATGATGAGGGCACTGACCAGTGGAAGAAGGTGTACGAGACCCCAGATCGCCTCTGGGACCTTGGTCGTCATTTTGAATGTGCCGTTGCTAAACTGTATCCACAATGTCTTCAGAAAGTACTTTAATGGGAAACAGGCCTTAGGATTTGAGTAGTAACTGATAACTTGAGGTGACATGTCTTATGATAAAACGAAGACATTCTGTTAGTATTTAATGGAAGCTGAAAGAGTTGTGTTCATGGGGATGGGTGCTTTTAAAGATTGCAGTGTGGGGAGGGATTTGCTCTCATACTTGGGATGTTTTCAGTTCAGCAAGGGGATGGTGACAAAGTGCAATTATCAGCATTTTTCTGATATAAATTTAATCATGTCATTCTAGAGGGTTTCTGTGATTAAAAACAACTAAGATGTCAGAAGAACCAAGACAACTATGCACTGCTGCAAAAGCTTGGGTAGCATTACTGGATGTGGGTGTCCAATCTGCTTCGAAGTGACTTCTTTTAAATACGGGTAAAATTTGAGGCAATATCACTAGGTCTTTACTTTAGCTGTGATTTAACTAACATAGAGGAACACTCCATTAGGTCCTGATTCTTAATATTTATACATTTTTATGTATGCTATTTCAAGTATACTGAGGTGTTTGTTATATGTTCAGCTGTTACAATAAGTTTTGAGAAAATATTAATCTCAGAAAAAAAAAGCTGTTTTGGGTAATTGACATTTCCTATGTGGAATTTAAGTCAACTTAATGATATAAGTTAGCGATTTTCTGGCAGCAAAATGTTTTTAAGTGCTAACACTTGTCTTGTTTGGGGGAGACAAAGATAATAATCTGGTAAAGGGCTTTTAAACCCAAAGGCGGCTGGTGCTAGTATACTTCCATTTTCGTGTGGCCAGGTAATGTTACCTGGCCTGACTGTGCTTGTCTTTCAAAGTGGTCTGCTGGTTTTATGGCCAGAATATATCATCTGTAGACCTCTTGATTTGAGTGGGATTCTGCATTTAAAATGATAGCAGAATACGGCCATTTGTTGATTTGAATTTCTCTCATTCTTATTTTCGGAAAATTGAGAGCTTTATAGTTTTTGTTTTTGTCTTTTTTGCGTGAATTTGGTTCCAAAACTACTTAGTAGATCTGACATTTGGCTTGTCCTTATTCCTCCATTTCAATTCATCCTAACATCGAAAAAATGTTGTGTCTGTTCTCCACAGAAGATAATGTGAGAATTGGCCTTATTTTTGATAGTTTTTTTTTAAAGAAAGAGACATAGTGAACTTAAAAATTTTTAACTTGAGTTTTTTCTTTTTTCTGTTTTTATATATTTAACATCAAATTTATGAAAACTAGATCCTTTTCCTAGGGTTAGCCTCTGCTTGGTTGAAGGGGCTTGAAAAGGAGGAAAAAAAAGTGAAGAGTTTGATATCTAATTTTTTTAAATCAGTCATAACATAATTGCATCTTTAGATTCCAAGTGTCATTCTTTATATTTGACAAATTTCTAGCACTAATCTAAGTACGTTCAAGTGAAGAAGAACAATTCATTTGTAATATTTAAATAAGGCAGATATTTGGATCAGTAACTTATTTTTTATAGTCTTTAGACAAGTTGACCATAGCAGTTAAGCATAATCCAGAATCTGTCCTTATCACATGAGCAATTTTTATCTTTAAAGAAAGCAAACTGACATAGTTCTTATTTAAATATTGCACAAATTTTAATGTGATACTGTGAAACAAAAAATTTTTTAGCATTGCCTCCTTGCATCACATACCTCATTTTCCAGAAACTTACCAAACTGCTTCTTGGAGAGATGTATAAGTAATGGGAGTTTTCCGAAGCAGATTTTAAGGTTGATGGCATTTATAGAGTTACATTTTAGAGTGGAGTCCTAGAAAGCAAGACATGTGCTTTCTTGGTGTTTGTTACAATGCTGTTTTGTTGCAATTTTTTTTTGAAGTACAAGTCAGTCAATTAAAATGTTCATTTCCCATCCCTCCTCCCCAGTTTTTCTTATTCTTTGTGTAAAATGTATAGTTTTGCATAGGGCTCTATCTGCAAGCTTTTTGAAGCACCCTTCCTTACAGTGTTGCATTAGTCTATACAAACTGTCCTTGCAAAAAGTGTTAGTTTTTTGTTTTAAAGGCTTGGTTGACTATTTAGATTTCCTGCTGCTTTTTGACAATCGGTATTTATTTAGTGGAACAAAATTTTCAGCATATTACTTGAAAACATGACCTAGAACATTTGATTTAGCAATTGACTGATCATATGATTGTATAGGAGTACAACATGCTGTAGTTAACCCTACAGTAAGTTAATTTTGTTGATCTGCACTAAAATACAACTTCTGTTGTTGTTGTTTTTGTTTTATCCATTTATGCTGAGGGTACGATCTGAGATGATAGCGTATTCAAAAGCTAAAGCCTGCAACTTGCCATGGAAATGAAACCTGTTGAATTGTAGGTGTGCATAATTCTTGTCTAAACAATAATCTAGCTGGGACCTTTTGCCACTTTTAAAAGCTTTCAAAAGAAGGCCTTAAAGTTGGATTGGTGATGGTTTTTGCTCTCTAGTTAGATTTTTCAGGTAAATTTTCATAGTGTGGGGAGAAAATTGGTAAAAGGTACCATAAGCACTATAGAATTACAAGTTAGGGTTGTGTTGAAAGATTATTTATACAGCATCTTCCGATATATTTAGAAAATGTGAACTAAGACTTTACAGGAAAGTGAAGTTGAAATCTGTTTTCCATCTTCATTTGTTATGGTACACAGCTGACGTTAGATTTAAGTCTCAAACTGATTGCAGTGGTGCATGAGACTAGGTGGATGTGGTCTGTAAGGCATCAAATTCACTGTTTTAAGGCAGTTTAAAATGGCGTTCAATGTTCAGTGCTCAGGTATGTAGTAAGAAGTACTGTAGTCCGGGGTGGGGGGTTGGGGCGGGAGCGGGGTGGGGGAAACGTGTGGAATTTTTAAACATTTTGCCATAATTGCACAATTTTGCATTTTTACTTGATGTCATTTAAGTTTCTTATAATAAAACCTATTCTTGTTGAAAACACGATTGATTGGCTTAAAAAATTTCTAATGTCTTTAACCTTACTAATTTCTTATATATGATTTATTCCTTTAAATATCATTAAAATATATGCTATGTTAAATATGAAATTAAAACAGATCACTGCTGTGAAATTAATTGGTCTTTTTAAAAAAATCTGTTCATGGCCTAAGATTTTGATGAATGTTAAGGATACTCACCTGTGATCCAGGTATGTCAATAATGCACATCAAGGATTTTTTATTTCATTTAGTTTGGAACTTCCTTTATTAAAGAAGAACTTCCTTTATTAAATCACAAATTTAGTGTAAAGTCTCAGGTAGAATTTGAACTGGGTGGGGGGTGGGAGGGGGCTTGCCTTAAAGCCTAGCACAATGCATTGCTTAACACTGCAAATCTTTGAGCCTGTTAGGATTTGTTAACAATAAGTACGAGAGGACTCCAAGTAGATGATGAGTATATTACTCTTAACTTGGTTTTTCCCAAAGACCTAGAATTTTGCTGTATTGCTTTAGTTTAATCCTTAACTGCTATGGTATGGGAGTGAGTCCTGAGGAGCTTTGCCTTTTAACATTTAAAACCATATTATCTATATAATATAATCATTATCCACTTGTGATTAGGTACAAACTTAAAACGATGGCAATCCATCTTGACTTGCTTTTTACTTATTATTAGGTACAACATGGTGATCATTTCTCCTAATCAAAGGTCATTTCCTTGCTAGGAATAATAATCCTTAAGATTAATAATCTCTTCCTGGTATTTTTGCATTCGAATGCAAGTCTGGTGACCTCCTTCCCTACTCCCAGAAGGCAGTCTTGGCTTCAGTGGCTTTCATTGGTTTGGTCTTGTTCTTTTTGGCCTCTTCATCTCTCCTATCTTCATGTTCCCAAACCTCAGTGGGAGTTGTTTCTGGCTGTGTTGATCCTAAATGATATGCCTCTTTCTTCAGATTCTTAACCTGGCACCTATTATTTCATTGGCTCCAGAGTAGAGTACTGTGAGGTGGGTAGATGAGGGGATACTCTATTAGAGAGTAGCTGAGGTTCCTGACTTCTCTGCAGATCAGTCTTATATATAGAATGCCATATGGAGTGGACTATGGAAAAAAGTGGAGAATAGGGAGGAAAGAATTTTAGAGGAGACATTTGAAAAATCAAAATATTTCCTTCCCTGTCTTAAAGAGACAGTTTTGAGGAAGGCTAGATTGGGCTTCAGGGGATTGGGGCCCCACAATTACCACTTGCTATCTCTGCTTATGGGAATTACTCTTAATCCCTCTGGGCTATAGTTTCCTCACCTGTAAAATGGTGCCTTCCACTTATAAACCGATGAGCCTAATACCTACATGAGACTTTAAGTATTTCAAAATCATGCATAGGTGACCTGTAAGTTAAAGACAGGAAAAATGTTAGATTACTGAATTTTACTAAGTTTTTGAGGAATCCAAGCAGAAAAGTTGACTGAGGTGATGGTGTCCTGGCTGGGTGATACTCTGAAGTTGTGCATATTCCCTTCCACTAAATAAAATCTTTATCATTGCCCTTATCCTGAAGGATGTGAAAGGATGACAGCATTTAGACTTTTAATAGCCATGGAACAAAACCCTTTTTGACCAAGTCCTAACTCTTTAGTTTGAAGACCTTAATACTACTTAACATCTAATCACATGATTAACTGGTATGTATGCTGGAGAATTTTGTTCATTTGTGAGCATGTGACTAAAAGTGTTTTTGGAAGAAACCTATCTTGTCTTTAAAACATTCATCTTAAAATGGAATTCATTTGGAAATCTTAAGTGTATAAACTTACCTTTTCATTTATTTATTTTTTTTCCAGTTGAGCAAGGCCACACAATTTAGTATTCGGAAATACTTCATTAACTAATTTTTAATGCAAACACAAGATTGTTAAGTGATAATGCTTCAAATACAGCTTCAGCTATAATTTGAGAGAATTTCTCAAATAAATATGAAATGGCCAAAGCTGGATCTGCAATTTACGTTTAATTCATAAAAATTTTGGACACAGAAACTTGATAAACTGAAAAAAAAAACACTATAGAGCATTTTTTTTCCCTACTGGGGAAGAGAAACTATGGATGAAAAAATGAATTTATGAAGACATTTTTTAAATACCATAGCATTAGAAATTTTAGGAAAGCAATGAATCCAATGAGATGTAGTGGACAGAGAGCCACCCTCAAACACAAAAGGATCTAGGTTCAAGGTTCATCTCTGACACGTACTTGCTGTATGACCCTGGACAAGTCACTTAATCTGTCCCAGACAACTTTTCAAGACCATAAATCACAGAGAAGGTGCTGAACAACCTTGCATTGTTAGAGGAATTTCCCCTCCTGGGAGTTCCTAAACTGATAAAATCTCAGGCCTTATCCCAGTCTAATTATATTTGTTTTTCAGTCTGCTAATTTATTGATCTACCATTTCATTTAGTGATTTTAAAATTACTCATTCTTTGTACACAACTTTACCAATGAAATGGTCAAGAACATTCGGTGTTAATTTACTAATACCAAACCACTTGTCAAGAATAGAGGAATCTACAGAGTCCCCAAGTAATTAAATCACCAAATCTTTTGGACTAGCAGAACAAGGCCTCCTGGGCATCTTTTTTCCTATAAATTCACCAGCTCTAAAGATCCAGCAGCAGAATAAAAATGCTTCCCTCCTCCCAAAACGTTTTGCTTTCTGTTATTTGCCAGTTCTTATCCCGTGTGTCATCTTGACCGGAGACCAAAGAAAAGGGTTCCTTTCCTCTACACCTAGATCTGCCCATCAGAGATAAAAGGGGGTCCTATTCCCTTGTCTTTCCTCCCAAGACTTGATGGATCGCTTCCCTAAGCCTTCCTGGAGGGGCAGAAATGGGTGTGGTTTCTATGAGTGCCTGGGGCTCCTCTTCATCCTCGCTTAAAGCTTGTCTGACAGGCCAGGGTCCCAGCGACTTCTGTGGAGAGGAAGGAACTCTTTCTCTAGTCTCCTGTTTCACTGCTCTGGAGTCCGAGGCTAGGTTCAAATCTCACCTCTGCCACTTGGATGATCTCAGGCAAGTCATTTAACTGAGTCCCCAAGACTCAGTTTTCCCTTTTGTAGAATGAAGAGGTTGGACTAGATGACCTCTAAGGTCCTTTACCACTCTGCATCTACAATCTCTGGCTATCCCAGTTCTCAGGGATCTCCATCCCCTTTCTATCCCAATCCATCCAAAAGAGAGGGGGCAGAGCAGTTGGGAGCAAGCAATTGCCGTCGCTCACACTTGAGCCCCAGCAGAAGGGGGACCTCTGGCCCTGGGCTGGAGAAGAGGGGCTCCAGGACTGGGTGAGGAGGGATGAGGGCGGTGGAGACCAGGAGCATCTGGGATTTAGGAGGGGGGGGGCAGGGTAACGCGGTCCTTCCCCCCCCACCGGTGAGGTGAGTTGTGGAATGACCCCAGGCCACCCTCCCTCGTCCCAGGGCTTTCCTTCGGGGGAGAGATGGATCTAGGAGCGCCCTGACACCCCACTCCCCGCCCTAGCCCTCGAATTCGCTTCTTTCTGGAAGCTGGGGCTCAGAAGGGGAAGTGACTTGCCCAAGGTCACACTGTTAGCTGGCTAGCTGCTCACTGGTAGAGGTCATATTCGATTCCAGATCTCCGGCCCTACTACCTCTTAGGCTAGACATCTACCCTCACTCTCACCTCTAATTCCCTTTAGAAACCGGGTATCAGATCTCACGGCCCATTTCCTATGGAAAATGAGGGCAAGGAGAGAAACTGGAACAGGCTGTCTCTGCGAGCGTGGATGTACATTTATCCACTCTTTCCCCAGCTCCCTCCCCCTCTCGCCCCCCGTCACCCAGTCTTCCAAACCTCCTAGAGCCTGCTGGTTCTTCCTAGGGGAAATCTGAGGCTGGGGGTGGGGCGGGAGACGGCTCTCATTGTTTCCCGGATGTGGCCCAGGGGAAGAGAGGGCAGGTGTGGCCTTCTGGGGTGCTGCTGGTTGTGATAGAGTGCCCCGCCCCCAGGCTGAGATTGCGGTGTGATTGGAGTGGTGTTCCCCGGAATGTGTCTGGGTGTTGGGTGGAGGGAAGGAGGGGGTGGAAGGAGTGTTTCACAGGCCTGCCCCTTCCGGGCTTCTGTTTGTAGGATTCCAGGCTGGTGACGGGCACCCCCACTCAAGACATTTAGAAGATTTATTTAGGGTTTTTTTTTAAAGAGAATTACAAAACTGTCTATTTAATTTAATGAGGAAATACAGAAACCAACTCATAAATACAACAAAACACTAAAGGAAATGTTCTGAGTCTTAAATTATGACGACTTAAGAGGGAGAGGTACATAAAGTTTGCGGGGTGGGAGTCGGGGGAGGGGGACAGAGAAAAAGACTGAGAGACACAAAGACGAGACAGAGAGACATTAGCTGGGGGGCAAATCATTTTGGTTTCTCTGAGCCTCAGTTTCCTTATCTATAAAATGGGAACTGGATTGAAAAATTGCGATCTATGTCCTCAAAAAAAATGGTTAAACCTTTAGGAAAAACATAGGGAAATATGACACCAATCAGGGTTCCAAGCAGCACCACCCACACCCATCCACCATCAGGAGGAGGCATTGTGCCTTCTGGTTTGCTTGTGGCTTTTAAGGCATAGAATAACAACATCCCTCCTTGGAAATCCTGCACAATGGAGATTACAAGCCAAGTCAAGTGATCACGTATCAGAAAGCTTCTTAAAATGGTAACATCTATGTTAGATATATTAGAAACTCAATTTAAGATGTTCTTAAAGAGACAAGTGACTTGAGTATTTATGAACCTTTCACAAATATATTTACCCTGTTCGCCAGCCCATTTGCCTAATTGGCTAAAGATGTTTCTTCCTCCTGTGCCCTTAGTTCCATATTTTTGTTTTTATACTGAAGTACTTTTCCAGGCATTTATTCTCCAATCATCCCAGGAATTGAACTTTCCTTTGTAGTATGAAAAAAATCATGAAGTATAAACAGCGGACATAATGTCTGATATGTATGGAGACTTCTTTGTGCTTAGGGGAAGGGAAAAGAAGGTAGAGGAAGAAAGAGGAAGGGAAAGGAAAGGAAGGATGAGAGAAGAAAGCAGAAAAGAAGGAAAAGGAGGAGAGGAGAAAGGACAAGAGAGGAGGGGAGAAGAGAAGAGAGGAAGGGAAGGAAGGGGAGGGGAGCGGAGGGGAGAGAAAAGAGGAGAGGAGTCCATGATGACTAGAAGGCTATGAGCATAGTTTATGGAGTACCTGGACAACAGAGATCAGTGCAACAGCAGGTGAATGCCAGACCATTCTAAATGGTTACAGGGCTGATTCCTTTTAGAGCTAGGCCAACTTCTTTTTTTTTTTTTTCTGGTTAGGCAATGGGGTTAAGTGACTTGCCCAGGGTCATACAGCTAGTACATGTTATGTGTCTGAAGCTGGATTTGAACTCAGGTCCTCCTGAATCCAGCGCTGGTGCTCTATCCACCGGGCCACCTAGCTGCCCCAGCTAGGCCAACTTCTGAAATGGTTTCTGTGTGTGGCGGTTCTCAGTGGCCAGCCAAATGTGGCCGATGACCTGTGGTGGTTACCCTAGGGTGTGTTGGCTACTGTGCCTTCAGTCAAGGATCCTTGATAGCTTGCACGTCATTCTATGGGTCAAACTGAAGTCTTAAGTTCTCTAGAGACTGTGCTGTCGTTAGGGATACAAAAACAAAAGGAAAATACTGCTTGTAGCATCTTACCATCAAAGTACTTATGCTACCTATGCTAGCATTTTCAGAGCCCCAGGGGATATTAACCACTTAGTGATAAGCATAGATTGCAAAACCTGGAGTACTCCTAGGCAGCCCAAAGCTACCAAAGCTGAGCAACCCATCTTCCTGACCTAGATGAAATGGTGTCCTTAGGCTCATACTTGGGAATTTCAGGCTAGCCTAATGAGCAGCACATTGGAAATAGCATTGCTTTTGGAGTCATAAGATGTGGATTCAAATCTCACCTCTGTCACTGTGTGATCATAGGTCACTTAACTTCTCTGGGCCTCAGTTACCTCATCTGTAAAATGGACTCTATGTTTTCAGACTTCCCTTTTGGCTCTAAGCCTATGTGATTCTGTGAGCAACAGATCCAGTAGGGGTTCTCCTTCAGCCACTTTGACTTCTTGGCCATTTGCATCCCTGGGACACCACGACAAGAGAGCCACGACTGTTAGAAAAGTTAGAGCGTGGGCCATCCACAGCACCGCTGCAGTGGCAGGTTTTACTGAGGCAGCAGCGTCGTCATAACCAAACCTATCAGGACTCATCCTCTGATTCCCTGAGGGCGCAGCAGGTGTTTGGAACCTCACCGGCACCCGCTTCCATTCCCAAGGAGTCTTGATGGGAAATGGCATGCCTAGGGCATAGCAGCCCCACAGCCTTCCAGTCGTGGCACACTCTTCAAGGCAGCCCATAGAGGCACTAGGTAGCTCTTGAAGCTAGGATCATGACATGATACTCATTGGCTTGTTCAGTCCTGGACCAAACAGGGAATCCACCAGCAGCTAAGCCTACTAACTTTTTTTTTTTTGGACACCCTGATGTCCTTGGACATTCAAGACACGGGATTTTATCCTGGACCTGCTGCTTCTATTCTGGTGGTCATAGAAACCCTATCCCAGATGGCTTCCTCTTCCCCCGTCATAGGATTGTTTACATTGCTCTCAGGAAGATATTTTAGCTAAATAATCTTCCTCCCACGTGAATCCAGATCAGTATCCCCAGTGTGCTTTCAATTTCTGATCTGTACTGTTTGGTGTCATCTAGGTTTAAGACCTTCTTTCCAGTGCCAACCATTCACAAGTCTAGTGGCCTGTCAGAATGCACGAACAAAACATTGAACTAATAACCTCCAGGGCTACGAGTTCTACCACCAAGACAAGTGATTAACCTTCCTACCCATACCTCCATGTTTCAGGCTTTGAATTTAGCAATTTTCCTGTTGATTTTGTAAGCCACAGCTGTTCCAATTTCAGACACAGCATCTCAGGGTGGAACAACAGAAGGGCTGGCATCAGCCGTCTTCCTTTCAAGATAGAAACGATCAGCTGCAAGCAGAAGCGGAATTCAGCTCGGGGTGATGTCCATTTCCCCTAGGAAGCTGACAGCCAGGGCATCTATCCTCTCTCTTGTAGGCCCTTGTTCTACCACCCCTGTGTCTCTTTCTCGTCTGCCATGTTGGTGCCACCTCCAGCCTTGGGCTACCGTTCTCAGGGTCTTATCATTAGGACTTCATGTCGGGGTGTGCCAACAGAAGTGGGATCCTGATATTGTCCTGCATTCCAGATGAGCCTTGTCCAGTCCAGTACTGCTCCCTCCCCCCAGATTCTTTTCCCCAACAGTAGTAGGCTCAAGATTTCCTCCTATGTCTATTCCCCGCCCCCCAGCTCCATTCCGGAATGAATTTGTCCCAGGGATCAGCATTCCTGATTGCAGCTCAGAAAGGTGGTTGCCGCTGTTCAGTTGTCTGTCTCTTCACAACCCCAGTTTGGGTGTTCTGGGCAAAGATACATTTCCTTTTCTAGCTCATTTAACTCATGAGGAAACTGAGGCAAACAGGGTTAAGTGACTTGCCCAGGGTCACACAGCTAGTAAGTAAGGCCAGATTAGACCTAAAGAAGATGAGTCTTCCTGACTAGGCCCAGAACTCTCTCTGGTGTACCACCTAGCTGCCTATAGCTTACAGTATTGCTCTTCATAGTTCAATTCAGTGTTTTATTTTATTTTACAGTTTAATAGTATTTTATTTTTTTCACAATTGCAATGTCAAGACAATTTTTAGTATTCATTTTTACAAGATTTTGAGTTCCAAATTTTTCTCACTCCCCTCTCCCTTCTGAAAATATAGGCAATTTGGTATAGGTTATACATGGGCTATTATATAAAACATATTTTCATATCAGTCACAGTTGTGAAAGAACAGATCAAAAGGAAGAAAAGACCCACAAAAAATAATAAAGTAGGTGAAAAAATGTGCTTCGACCTGTATTTAGAGTCTTTATATTGATGTGGAAAGCATTCCCCTTCATCTTAGATCATCCGATCATCGTGTTTCTGAGCAGATCTGGGTCCTTCATATTTGATCATCACACAATGTTGCTAATACCGTGGGCAGTATTTTCCTGCTTCTGCGCATTTTGCTTTGCATCGGTTTGTACAAGTCTTTCCAGGTTTTTCTGAAATTTGCTTGTTCATTATTTCTTATTGCACAATAGTAATCCTTTACATTCATATACCACAGCTTGTTCAGCTATTTCCCAATTGATGGAAATCCCCTCAATTTCCCATATTTTGACACCACAAAAAGGGCTGCTATCAGCATTTTGCACATGTCCGTCCTTTTCCCTTTTTTATGATCTCTTTGGGATACAGACCTAGTAGTGGTATTGCTGGATCAAAGGGTTTGTGTGCCCTTTGGGCATGGTTCCAAATCGCTCCCCAGGGTGGTTGTATCAGTTCACAACTCCACCAACAGTGCATTAGTATCCCAATGAGTATCTCTCCAACATTTATTATTTTCCTTTTTTGTTGCATTAGCCAATCTGATAAGTGTGAGGTGGTACCTGAGAGCTGTTTTAATTTGCATTTCTCTAATCAATAGTGATTTAGAACATTTCTTCATATGCCTGTAGAGAGCTTTAGAAAAACATCAATCCAGCACAATAACCCATCTTCCTGACCCAGATGAAACAGGTCCTTGGGCCTTTACTTAGGGATTGCAGTCTGACCAAACCAACATAGCCTTTATGATCTCGCTGATGATGGGGCAGGCTACCTACTAGACTTGCTCATGCCTCAGAGAGGTTTGCATACTACTCAACTTGTTGGAGACATTCCTCCACGAAATCCAAACTTTTTTAATGACCCCCTTGTGTGGAGATAGCAATCTTCAGAATTTGTTCCACCTGGCCCTCCCTGGCATCAGAGAGTTGGCTCAGT